TTTTCATCTAGTTCATTTTCTTATGACGATCTGTTTCATTTGCTGCATAATGATTTTTGGGGTCCTTCTCCTACTTTTCTAAGGATAGGATATAAGTTCTTTGTGTTATTTATTGATCATGTATCTAGACACACATGTATGTTTTTTATTTGAAATAAATTTGAGGTTCGGACTCTCATTATGAATTTCTTGAGTATATGTATACACAGTTTCATAAAATTATAAAAATATTTCATTCTAATTCTGGAGGAGAGTGCACTAAGACAAGATTATGTTTTTCAAAAACAAAGGAATTATTTCTCAATGCATTTGTCCTCATACTCTGAAACAAAATGGAGTCGTAAAAAGGAAGAATTTCATGTCTTGGAAACTACACTAGCTTTGTTGGGCACATCTAATATGCAGATGAGTTTCTAGCCTAAAGCAGTACATACTTATTTATAATTGATTAGTAAACAAACTTCCTCAGTCATTGCTAATGAGACACCGTACTTCAAATTATTTCAAAAGAAGTCTGATTATTCTCACTCCAATTTTTTGGTTGTGTTTGCTTTGTCCATCTTCTGATACAAGAACGACAAAAGCTTTCAGTAAAGACAACACAATATATTTTTGTGGGCTGCAATAACACACATAAAGGGTATCTATGTTATGACGCCTCTTGTCACCAGCTTCGTATATCTAGACATGTTATTTTTTTAGGGTCAATTTTCCTACCAAACACAATTCTAAACATGCTTCAAAATATGTTTTCTTTTTGTATAAGTTTAATGATGATGTCATAGCTACTGATCCTCCAGAGCAACCATGAACTATGATCATAATGATCTCCAACCAACCTGTTCTTCGGTTATTGACTCTGCATACGCCTCCTCATCTCCCAAAGAGGAATCGTCTCATCCAGTTACTCCCCCACGCCGATCTAGTCGGATAAATAATCATGCTCCTAAATGGCTCGGGTACTCTCCAGGGAAATTTGGTACGTCTTATGCCATGCATACCATACTAAATTCTATTGATGTACCTATATCTTACTCTCAGGATTCTAAACAAATTTGTTGGAAAGAGACAATGTCAGAAGAGCTTCGTGCATTGAACGAAGGTTCTATTTAGGGATTTGTTGATAAAACACTAGATAGAGTTTTATTGGAAGTAAGCGGGTGTATTACATTAAACCTAAGGCAGATGGTACAATTGATTGCTACAGAGCTTGATTAGTTGCTCAAGGGCACAAACAGAAGTATGGAGTGGATTATGAGGAAACTTTTGCACTTGTTGCAAAGATGACAAGGGTACAAACATTATTGCCTGTGACTTCAATAAAAACTTGGACCTTACAATAGCCTTCCACAAGTTTCATTCTCTACTTCCTTCATATCTTTCAATTGTCTCACAAATTTATGATTTCCGATCTTGATGTCATCTTATTTATTGGTTTGTCTAGAAGGGATGGATCCAGCAATTGCCTAGATAATTAATGATGGCTGATCTTGAATGTTATCTTCTTGATTAGTTTGTAAGAAGGGACATTGAATCAATTTTTCTTCTTTTCTTGTCTTTGTTGTGTTGCCTATTTTGAATGAATTCTGCAGAAACTTATGGTTCAGGAGCATGTCCGCAGTCCAATGCGTGCTGGGAATATTCATCACAAGATATTTTTCCAAAAAAATTTGAGCCTCATTTGTGTAACACACCCTAACTAGAAAGAACTAGAATGAAGTTAGAAATTGGAATAGTCAATTTTGAAAAGAATATAAAAATCTCGAAATGTCCGATTCGATTTTATAGGGTATTTTTATCTTTTTCATACTCTATTATTCAAATTCATTTTTAGGTGACTAATTGGGGTAAAATCATATTTTAGTCAGTTTAGAAAAATAGAAGTTCACACTAGGGCTTAGAGAAAAGAGAAATGAGAAGAAGGAAGGAGATATATCAATATTTTTGTCATCTTTATAAGGAATTGCTTGTGGATTTCATCCTACAAGATATGTGAGACTTTCATAACGTCGAATTTGTTCACTCACGTGTCAATCATGTTTGATTCAGCGCGAATTTGTTCAAAAAGATTGGAATTTGAATGTTCTTGATAGTCATTCTTGAATTGCTTTCAAACTACAACATAAGATGAGATTAATGAGTTTCTTAATATTAAAGTGTTGTTTCCTTGAGTTCTTTGTGTTATATCTTGTGTATATGATTTGGGTACATGAATCTAAAGTGAATTTGAGAAAAAGAATCAAATTAAATCGATATAAGATCTATTAAATGAGATAAAAAAATTCATCAATATTTGCCTGAAGGGAGGCTGGCATGACAACCCCCCCCCCCCCATAACGCCAGGAAGGCTGGGGCATTACGCAGTAGTGCACCATTTTAGAGCCCCAATAAGCTGGGGTTGGCGAGGCGTGCCCAGAATAGGCCCAAATCATTGTTTTTCAACAATTTTTTGTCATTCAACCCATTTAAGTCCTTCTAAAGGGTACTAACACTTTCTATTGATTCTAACTACTCTAAATGACTTCTACACACCTAGAAATCATCCAAAAACATGAATCGTAACCTTCAATTCATAAATTCAAATTCAAGGAAAGTTAAGAGACAAGTTTAGGAAGTTCTTAGAGTTTTTTCAAGAAGTCTTTCACAAACTTTTTAACATTGTTTTAAGACTTAAGTTCAAGTTAAGCAAAAAATAAAGAGTTTACTTCATTTCTCCAAAAGTTATACGGGTAAATATTCTCAAGAGTTTAAAAATGTTTTCACATTTGAACATGAAAGGGAAACACCGATTTTCATCAAGAGAGCTTTTAAGCTAAAATTTTGAGTAATTATTTCAAACCAAAGAAAGAAATTTTGTTTTAAAACAAATGAGCTCAATATATTTTGGAAGTAGTATTGAGCACCAATATGAAGATGCGAATTCATATTAACTCAAGTCTGCATAAACCATGTATCCATTGTGGGCAGTAAAGGATCGTACTTTTTAGATGACTCCTTAAGTTGCTTTTGTGTTGCTCTTAGCTTATATTGAAAAAATATTGATAATACTGATTATGATAAATTATCATAAAGTCATTTTGTAAAATTAAATTTTGTTTAGGAAATTTTGTCTATTATCAACAACACTAGTAAATGAAGCCTGCGCGTTGCCCGAGCCCAATAGGATTAAAGTTAATTATTGTTTCTATTATTAAAATATATATTAGTAAGATTGTTATAATATATTTTGCTCATAAGTGAGCTAATATAAAAACTTATTTGTCATTGTTTTTTAAATTTGAATTTCAAATAGCAAATGAACTTTCGGAATTTAGGTAAAATTAAACTGAAGAGAAGTGACTATCAACGGGATTATTTAGTCGGTTATTTTTAACAGTTATACCATTTCAATTTTCCGGTCAATTTATATTGTATAACCAAAATTAAATATTTAAAGCCATCTAAACCCTAATTTATGTGACATAAGCAATGCAAAAATTAGCACTTTTTTTTTTGTTTTGAGATATTCAGAGTTATAATTAATGTAGCTTATAGTATCTTTTTATTTATTTTTTTAATAACAAATGTTACTTTTTGTGTTTCAGAGTCAAACAATTTTGTAATTGTCTTTTAAATATTTCAAGTTGATAATTGTTGTGATTTTTAGAAACGTTAGGCCATTTGCAAATAATAAGTATTACTTTTTAAGTCCCATTTAATGAGGCACAATAGAATTTTGAGAGTTTTTATTAGCAAATAAAGATTGATATTTACAAGAATGTTATTTAAAAAATTTACGATAGGAGGTATTAATTGAAATAAGCCAAGTAGTAATTATAATGAAAGCACATAATTGAAGCATGCATGTTAGACGTCTAGTTATGTGCTTATTTTTATTTATATGATGATAGTAGTAGATTTATGAAAATTTGTATATGTTGATATCTAGTTATGTACTTATTTTCATGTAGATTTATGAAAAATTGTATATATATACATGAGACGTGTTTTTATTTGTTCTTTTAGATATTATTATATTATTTTTGTGATAAAATTACACCATATATATAAGATAATTATTTTTATATTTATCTAGATATATTAATTTTGAATCCCTCGTGAATAAGAAGAATCTTTAGCACAGTGATAAGTCTCCTTATAGTTAACTTTTGTGTCTACTGTTCCACTATCGGTGCGAGCATTTCAATTTATTTTTTTAGTTTCAGTTCCTAATTTTTTCAATTTTTTAAGTGTAGATTTGAATTCCAAAAAAATTCAAGATCTCATTTTTAAAAGCTTAGTCACTTTTCACTTTCTTAATCCCTATTTTTTTTAATTCCTAAATGAAAAACTTCAAAATTCGTTACTGATAATCAAATAGATGATGAATTTTTGTGCTAGATCTTAGCTTATGTACAAAAAAAAATATGCATAAAATACTATTTATTATAAATTATTATAAAACATTTTACAAAGTTGAAATTTGTTTAGGAAATTTTGTCTGTTGTCAAGTATCAACACCATTTATGAAAATTTGTACATACACACGTGAGGCGTGTATTATTTGTTCTTTGAGATATTATCATAGTACCTCGGTTGATAAAAAAAAAAAGTTGATAATTAATCAAGAAAAATCAATAGAGTTTCTGGGTTTTTATTGATTCTCTTATCAGTAGTGTTTAAAAAAATATATATATATATATATCCACATGATATCTCTTGAAAAAGACAGGTGGCAGATGAATCAAAGGGCAAACCATTGGCTGGGCATATCACCGCCATGGGCTGGGACGTCGGTTGTATTTATTGGAGAAATGAAGGGCTATTTAGTAATTTCCGTATAGGAAACCTGGGATTACATAGAGTGTGGCAGATGAGGTAATAAACGAGAAAGGAGAAGGGCAAAATGCAAGTAGACTCCGTCCAAATGAATTTTAAGCAAGTTGATGATCCACTTGCAGAAGCCAGCGTAAGCGATGTGCTAAACATCTCTCTTTAATAGTATTTACAAAGTAAGTATTAATACATATATATTCGTTTCTTAATTTTTTTTGTAATGGTATACGTGTTATCTCTCTAATCTCTATCTCTTTTTTTTTTTCGAAAGAGAAAGAAGAGTAGAGAATTAAAAAAAAAAAGATGCCTTCTTCCCTTCAACTGCATCGAATTAATCCAACCACTGCCACACTAGCGGTTAAACAACCGCAACTATCACAGGCTACAACATGGTTCAGTCCGGTTTCCACTTCTGTCCCTGATAACGTATTGCATCACCACACCCATGTTGTGGGTCCCAACCAGTGCTGCTCCGCGGTGTTGCAGTCCATTTCCGCCCCAATCGACACCGTCTGGTCCCTCGTCCGCCGATTCGATAATCCGCAAGCGTACAAACACTTTCTCAAGAGCTGCCACGTCATCGTCGGTGACGGTGACGTCGGTACGCTTAGGGAAGTCCGGGTTGTATCCGGACTACCCGCGGGTTCTAGTACGGAGAGGCTGGAGATTTTGGATGACGAGAAACACGTGTTGAGTTTTAGCGTTGTGGGAGGAGATCATCGGCTGAATAATTACCGATCGGTGACGACGCTGCACCGGGCGGCGGAAGAAGGATCGACGGTGGTGGTAGAGTCGTATGTAGTGGATGTACCACAAGGGAATACGAAGGAAGAAACATGTGTATTTGTGGATACGATTGTGCGGTGCAATTTGCAGTCGCTGGCCCAAATCGCACAGAACTTGGCTAAGACGTCAAAGAGTAATAAATTATCTATGGATCATGATTAATTAATTTTTAAAAAAATAATCTTTTTTGTACATTTCTATGATCATTTCTGGATTATTTTTAAAAAAAACTTAGGTGTTACTACTTTTAATTTGTTGTTATGAATGATGGATAGAGTACTTTTTGTTATTGTAGATCATGATGAAGACCCACAACTGAAAATTCATAGATTGGTAGATTTCGTGGACTGTAAGGTTGGTTCTTGTAAATGTTTAAACGTGTTACTATGGTATATAATGGTGTGCTGTGTATTTTGTATAACTACTAATCACTTTGTCACCATCACATATATTCTTCTCAATATATTCAAAGTATTAACAGTCAAAGATATTTTTCTTTCATCCTAATCTTTTCAGTTTGTTAATTATTGGAAAAAAAATACTTTTTCGTATTGATAATTATGGTAACTTATTACAATATTTCATGTAGTTTTTAAATATTTAGTTTTATATCTAAACTTAATATATTAACATTAGTTAGTTTGACTTTTCTATTTTGACAGTGTTGGTGATTACCAATTCTAATAAAAGCAATTGTTCTAGATTTTGGATTTCCTTTTGTGACTTATTGTATAACTTGAAATAATACACTAAAAAATGAAATACAAGAAGTCAACAATATAGTTGAGATTAATATCTAGTAATTAAGTAGTATTGTTCTTTCCTTCATCTTTGCATTAATTAAGTTGAAATTGGAATTTGGGCATTACTAGTTCTCTTTGGTAATTTTTTTTTCTTTTCCCTTTGACGGTTGGAATGTGGCAAATTTGTGGTGCTCACTTCCTCTAAACCTCAAATTAGGAAACAATTTTGATATTAGAAATGTAAAATCTTGCATTAGTATATTATCAAAAATAAGATTAACCCTTTAAATATCCAAAAGTATTACTAATTAGGAAAAAAAATCTAAAATAATTAGTACATATTTACTTCGATTATAACCTCTAGTTTGTGATATGAAAAAAATTCTTTATTAGAAGTGTCATTCCATAATAGGCTCAAAAGTGGATGATCATAAGGTGGGGTCGGGGGGGGGGGGGGGGTTATGTAGGACATTTAATGAACCTATGTCTGTTTTTTAATTCCAAATTGTCTAGTTAAGCTTTAATTCCTTTAATAATTATTATATAGTGAACTGGTTCACCAATTGTGAATAAATTATTTATTATAATAGCAATTGACGATAAATGAAGTTGATGGCTTTTGAACAATGAATCTGCTGGCGGAATGGAAATTAACCATTTAAATACTCTACTGTTCTTTATTATAACAACAAATGGTATCGTAAGGGGTTTAAAAATTTCCGTATTGGAGCATGTTCGAGAAATTAATGCATTCGTTGATTAAAGAAATTGAAATAAAAGAAAAAAGAAAATATAAATTATTCTTACATTAAAAAATAAATAAATAGTACTAGTCGAAGTTAAAATAGTACTAATATAGGTGGTTGTGATCTAAGAATCAAAGAAAGTAGATATTTTAAACCAAGTTGGTGTTCAAATAAAAGGTAACTTGTGGTTTTGTTTTTCCTAATTTTCTTTTGGGATTAGGAAGGAAGCAAGTTGGTTTGCAAGTGGGCACGGAGGGCTTTATTCAAATACTTCATATATATATATATATATATATATATATATATTACTTTAT